GGCCTTTTTTTCCCCCAGAATCTCCTTCGCTCCGTGGTCCCCGACGTGCTCCGGGCTCTCAGGGAGCTGCTGGAATTCGACGAGGTGACTTTTTCTGGGCGGAAATCCTTCGATTTCGGGGAAATTCGGGGAATTCCAGGGGGTTTTCGGGGCGAATTCCGGCGATTTTGGGTCCCAGGATCTCTGCGCCGACGCCTTGGAAGTGCTGGACGAGCTCCTGGAGGCGAATCCCGAGGCCCTGATCCCTCACCTGGAGGAAACGTTGGATTTCCTTCTCCAGGTAGCGCCAAAAACGGGGATTTTTCGGGGCCCGAAAATGGGGATTTTTAGCCCCAAAACCTGCGGTCAACAGGTCTACCCGTTAAAGTCAATGGGGCGAAAAGGGCATCAGGTCTACCCGTTAAAGTCAATGGGGCGAATAGGACAACAGGTCTACCCGTTAAAGTCAATGGGGCGAAAAGGGCATCAGCTCTACCCGTTAAAAGCAATGGGAAGGAGACATCAGGTCTACCCGTTAAAGTCAATGGAACGAAAAGGGCATCAGGTCTACCCGTTAAAGTCAATGAGGCGAATAGGACAACAGGTCTACCCGTTAAAAGCAATGGGAAGGAGACATCAGGTCTACCCATTAAAGTCAATGGGGAAACAAAGGGCATCAGGTCTACCCGTTAAAATCAATGGGGCAAAAAGGACATCAGGTCTACCCGTTAAAGTCAAGGGGAAGGAGACATCAGGTCTACCCGTTAAAGTCAATGGGGCAAATGGGACATCAGGTCTACCCGTTAAAGTCAATGGGGCAAAAAGGGCATCAGGTCTACCCGTTAAAGCCAATGGGGCAAAAAGGGCATCAGGTCTACCCGTTAAAGTCAACGGAGCGAAAAGGGCATCAGGTCTACCCGTTAAAGTCAATGGGGAAAATGAGACATCAGGTCTACCCGTTGAAGTCAATGGGGGATTCCCGGGATATTTTTGGGGGGAATTCCCGGGATTTTGGGGAAATCCCTGGAATTCTGGGGCCCCCTCCCGGGGGAGGGACTGAGGTGAGCTGGGGCACCCGCAGGTGGCCGGGGACGAGTCCAGGGGTGACCCCGTGAGGGTTCGGGCGCTGGCGACCGTCAC